CCGTTTGGCCTGAATGCCAGCTTTCTTTTGTCTCATTGTGTTCACTCGCATGACTCCCCAGAGAGATTAGATCATGATTGGACAGAAACATGACAGATACACCTTTTTTTTAAAATAAGAGACTATGAGGAAGAAAAAGGGGCAAAAACAGTCAAATAAATGCTGCAAACAAATTTTATTGCACTAAAAATTAAGTTTAAAAACATTTATTGTGGTGACACATTTAATGTATCAAACTTTTAACATATATATTTATTAGTCTAAATCTGACAGTTTATGCTCTGACTGTGATTCTTGAATTCCCCACAGAAAGATTTACCTGAAACCGCCGTTTCRCCATACATCACACAAAAGGAAGTTGACATCTTCAACATTTTACTGATGTGTAACTGCTGAATCAGAAAATTATTACTTGAAACTTGCTACAAGCTTTATTCCAAATGTTTTAATACTCACATTGTAACTGTGAATTATCCATAATTTGATGCAGCAGTAAATGTATGATGTGTCATTTGTTTTACAAATGGGAATGCATCACGTAACTTCAATTAAACAGTGTTTAATTTGAATACTTACAAGTTAAGAGTGGCATCTTAAAGCAGTAGAGCTGTAGATGAATATCTGTTTTCATTTTGTAAGTCTTAGTCTGTGTTGACATCATCATACAAGTGTTTATTCTTAGCAAAGGATCACAGGTTGAGAAAGCACATCTGAGCTTCTTGCGTAATGGTTCATTTTTTAACAATAATGTTTTGTCCCTTAAGCTATTTTAGCATATTTCAAGTAAAACAAAATAACATATACATGTACCATTGTCTCTCCTAACTGACTGACTTTGTATTTGCTTTTTACATTTCAATAAGACTCCAGAGTCCAAGTTAGAAGCCTGTTATAACTTGGAAAACACTCTACTGAATTATAACACAATTTCCACAATCAACATTTTAAAATAGTGGATAATTATGAATATTAAAATATATCTAATGTCTAAACACAAAAGATGATGAATTAATATCACTTCTCTAATGAGCAAACAAATGTTCTTAAACAAGCAAAACAATTAAACCCACTAAAATAACATGCAGCATTTTAAATGTTTTATACTATGTTGTAAAATGTAAGAACACAAGAAGCTCATTGTTGGTTTGTTTTTATTAACTCATACCAGACCACATCGTACAGATAGCTCACATTACACAACAAACTTCACAATTAAAGTACCACTGTACAATAGCACTTATGTATATGTTCGGCTAAAATATGTCCAAACTTCTCACAAGAAATATAATGAGAGCTGTGCTAATAAAGAGTTTGATTACTTGACATCTGAAGGATTTTTTTTTCTGTCATACAAAGGTTGACTCATGAATCTGATGGCACATAATTCTGTTCACATTGAAGAGATGCAAAAGCACCAACATTATAAAGAAAAGGCATATTTATAGACAAGAAAATAATGAATCATACATATGTCAGTAGTGTTTGTGTTGAAGTTTCTGTCATGGATATGCAGACATATACAATAGTCAGTAATATACATGAAGAGATTTCAGTGGGTAAAAGTCAATACATAGAATGCAGATTACATTGTTTCAGAAATCTAAATTAAGCAACCACTTCTAAATTTTCAACATGTTGACATAATTCATACAAATTGTTAAAAACCCAGATTTTGGAACAAAAGTCATAAATGTCGAWATGCATATCAGCATTTCTAATGTACTGTATATACAGTCCTCATAGGAACACCGAAGAATATTCTCTCCATTCAGTTTCTTTCAATTTCATTCAGACAGGAACAGTACTCACAGAGGCTCACTTAGTTTAAACTATTAATACTCTTTCATCAACAGTTTTCAAGTAGACAAACACATCAAACAGTGAGGTTTTAGACTGTCAATACATTTGTGAAACAGAATAACTCTCAACCTGCTGCTCTTGTTTACATGAGGGGAAAATCTGATTAATAAATCTGGTCCCATTAAACAACAGTTTTCAGTATTGTGCTAAAATAATCTGATATAATGTGTGTGGTAGAATAAAATATTCGTGGATGTAGTTTGGTTATCCCATGCAAAAACAACATAAAAGGTATGATGTATAAAGGCCTCGCTCATATTCATGTGTGCATTTGATGTTGGCACTAGTTCATGTGTTTAGGCCTAGCTCACTTCACGCACAAAGTCAAGTATAAAACAAAAAGGCTACAAAAAGCGAACACATTTATAAAATACTGACTGTCATTGTTGGTTTTAATTTAATAGGTTTGTGCTTTTCTGACTCATTGTTAACAGTGTTGTTTCACTTCTTCATGTTGATTATATTAAAGATCAATGTGGCTTTGGAGCACGACAACACAAAGAGCTTGAAATGCAGTTTCCAACAAACGCTTCTTCTGCAAGACAGCAAGCAGGTTCTTAAAGGCCTCTCAACGTCCCCACATCTGATCACGTAATCTTCATTCGGGCTTCTTTGAATCTTGACAGGTGCATATTTTTACAGTTCATTCATTAATGAACATGACTTCTGCCCATTTTTTTTCTTAACTTTTTTTTAAATAAGTCTCAAAGCGCAGCTGGAGCCATGCAGTTTCATCATGCACAATGAATGAACATCAGGACATTGGTGACATCTGCTTTTCACGTGGCCCAAGAAGAGGGATYTAGGGTTTTCAGATTTGACACCATAATTTATAACTGCTATACCATGACAACTACATGTAGTGAAGAACAAACCAGATGGAGACGGATAGATGTGATGGATTGATACTGTCCACGGCTGAAGGGTCGGTCCTATTTGGAACTGCTGCTGCTTGTTGTGGATGCCTGCCAACGAGACAAGAGAACAAGACACATATGAGAAAGGATCCAAAGCACTGAGGGGCTAACAACTGACCAAACTGAGCTCTCTCATGCAGCTGATGTCTGTCGCTCAAACAGGGGCTTCAGGCAGGAGTTGGGGGGTGGGGAACTGACTGTCTCTTTGAACATGTATCAGGGAGGTGGTAGCTCTAATAATAAATAGTATGCTCTAAAATCACGGGAAGGAGATTGGTTGATATGTAACTGGTTTTCCTTTTGCGTCTTTCCTGCACAAAAAAATAGGTCACAGTTCCGACTACAGAAGAAAGTGCCATTCATGTTCAGGTCTGTGAAGAGGACAGAAACAACACAATTTATCTTACAAACATAAAAAAAGATTGCACGTCAAACATCAACATGTTGGGTCAGTACCAGGGATGAACTCAGATTATTAATTACATGCACATCCATTTGAGGACAAAGTGATTCACGTAAAGACGTGGATATTGAACCGGTATGTCTGTTAAAGGTCATACAATACAGTGGGGTGCAAAGGTTTGGGCAGCCCTGTTTATTTTCCTGATTTACCTTTATAAATCATTGGGCCTCATGCAAGAACCGTTCGTACGCACAGATTTGTTCTTAAATTGTGCGTACGAGTGATTTAGGAGAATTTGTGGCATTCACCAATGTTTTCGCAGCAGGAGAAAGACCCCGCGCGCTCCGCAGCGACACTTTCCAGCTCGTCCGAGACGTTCCCAGACCAGAGG